TAAGTTAGGTGCATTTCATGATTGATGCGAGCTTTTTGAAATATATTTAGTTAATACTCTCTCTCTCCCTCTACAACTAGTACACTTTTGATTGAACATTTTCACGATAATAAAATGCACGTTTTTATATTGTTACACATCGTTTTTTTTTACATAATGAAAAATATAAAATGTAGTTTTATGTATTTATTTCATGTTTTATCAAAGTAAAAAAAGATCAAGTCTATCGTGAATATTGGATAATTTTCACAGTAATAAAACAATTAAACTTGCATTTGATAAACAAGTTTATAGCATACAATAAAATAAGATATATGTTTTTTTTAAATATTTTTATGTAATTTTTAAATTATTTAATTCTTGTTTCTTCCTTTTAATTAATGAATAGCACTTTTTAACAGTTAATTATTTCTTTATTATTATCTTATTTTTTTCTTTTTTTTTTGTTTATATGAATCTGTTTCAATTAATATTATTATTTTTATAAAAACATTTGTTATGAAAATGTAATACATGATTTATACAATTAAAAATAAAATCTTGAAAAGTTCTTGCTTCGTATTATATACGAATTTCAATTTTACTAGAAACTTTCGCTATAAATTGCACAATTCGCTCGTGTACACATTATATTTATGATTATTGGGGTTAACCCTTTGCAGAGCATTTAGACGTGTGAGGTCAGAATCTAAACCGCTATGTTGTGGTTTTATTTGATTACTCAAGCAGCGCCTCTATCGAACTAACGTCAAAGTTTAATCTAAAACAAAGATACATAACCTCAATATAACGGCACCGTCTGATAAAGACTAGTGGCATCTCCTTAAGAATTAATTTGTTGGGCGGATATATCCGCCGCTAGTTAGCATAGTATGTTAAATAACGTGTTCTAAATACTATTATTTAGAAATTAGTTATACTGGTCATATTACCAAAAAACTTTTTTTTAACTTTTAGATTAATTATTATTATTTCACGTTGTTCTTAATAAAATATAAATTTGATACAAATAACACTATTTACCTGTACGATTGAATCTGTAATCTTTGCAATTGTATAATTTGTTTTGTTGGATGGTATATGATTGCGCGCAATGGAAGCATTCCGAACGTTCTGCTACTCCGGTTTAAAATTACTACGTCTAAATATGTCTAGAGTCTAGACAATGTTCAGACAAAACAGCTTCGTTCGTGTTCTTGCACGCTGCCCGACTGCATCCTCTCACGAGATTATTTTCCAATTGCTCTGACATAATTCGATGAAATGTGAAGGCCATCATGTCTTTGGGAACAATCAAAATACTAAAGAAACAAATGTAAACATAGACAGAAGAAGTTGCTAGAATGTACAACGAAGGCTATCGTTTGTTTTTGTTAGAATAATTAATTTATGACGATATTTAGTTGTTGTTTACCAGTTAAGTAAACAATGGTTTAGAGATTGAAAAAAAAAGCAAAACACATAAATTTTATTTTTTAGATTTAGTATAATGAAATCCATTTGTTTGAAGTCGGGGAATTGCTGTCTATGGTTTATATTAAACGGAAGACTTCCTTAACTCGCGCGGTGTCTGTGGGACTCACAATATCACCCTTAACTTTAAAAACGTTCTCAGACGCCACGCGAGTTGGAAAGTACGAAAAGTGGCTTTTGATAGTTCATTTGAGTTTTATTTATTATAATATTGAAATAACATTTTGTATCCTACAAATATTAAAAAAGATCAGAAATAACACAAAAAAAACACATGTAATTCAATATTTTAACAGTGACAATTGTCAATTTAAACTTTCTGTAACTATGGTCGTGTAAATAACAGTGTTTGAGATAGAGATTGGATTGCGGTTGTAATATAATTAAAAGTAAATTGAAGTTATTTGTGAACTCTTGGAAACAACGGATGGGAATGGAAGAATCGGTAGAAAGGATGATGATTAAAAAAAAAACGAAACGACAAAGAAGAAAATATTGACAGTCGGAAACCGAGAAGGTTTGAAAACGTTCGAACATACTGCGGTCCAGTTTGTTTGTCGATAATTAGAGAAGTACGGAATTGAAAACTCTAGGTATACAAACATCGATTTCCTTCTCGGACTTTATTTTTCATCCAATTCAACATGTTTAATCACACTCATTATTTGGAAGGAAAAGTAATTAAAGACTAAACCGGAATCAATTCAATTCATTTCCGTGCTTCCAACTTCATTTCAAACAATTGGATTATGTAACTGAACTATTATTTAATTTGTTTGTTATCCATTTATTTTTGTTTATGAGTAATTTTATGTAAAAATTGGAATTAAATCATATTACTTAAATTTAGTGAACAATTATCGTACAGTTCGGACTCCGTACAAATCAGACAAAGAACAGTTTCACAATTTGTTTTATGTACGTATAACAAACACATTCGGATAACGTACATTTTTTCGACCAATTAATATTACTTTTGGGAGTTAACTCAAGTGGTGATATGAAATTTAAACCGCTTCTTAAATCTATATTCGGTTAACGAACAATTCGGATCTTTCAACTAAACCGAACAACCAATTTATAAAATATATTTAGATTAGTCTAAATACGTACCAAAATGTTCTAAGCAACTTTTTTGTATGTATTCTAATCTAATTTTGGTATTAATAATAAATTTATTTATTAATTCCAACTATATTTTTATATTTTCTTTAAACGATATTGCAACGAATTGCGTATTATGATCAGATATGTCGACTGTAGTTGAATGATCAATTCGAAGGTCAGTTGACTGATTTACATGAAAGAAATATTAATTATTCTATGTGAGCTTAGTTCTGTACTGGCTTCAATAGAAATAAAACAAGGTAGTGTTCGTAGAGATGACTAAGCTTTTTGATGAATGTAATAAATTGATAGTAAATAATTTAATCTGTTTTATAGTACAAATTAAATTGTCGTCGAGTGCGGATATTGAATTATGCAAGTGCAGCAAACAAGAATAAACGAGCGTGAATCAAGGAATAATTTCAAAAATAAGTGCAAACTAAGAAAATTGAGGTGTCCTTCGGATGTGAAGTTAGTGATTATGTCGTACTTTAAAGGATTTCATTATCCCGACTTCTAAACTGGAAGCCGGACAAGGGATGGCATTCACAGCGGTTACGCAATTCACGGAAAGTTCCACGAGGCTAACGCAATCATCCTTCTGTAATTAATTGATGTGCATCAAAAGACATCAATTATTCTGAGAATCTTTCCACGCCGAAGACAAATGGAAATATCGATGGATCGAAATACCGGGAGAAGATGAAAAAAAAAAACGGTGGATGGAAGATAAAAGAAAGCGTCTAATTGAAGTTGCGACCTTGCTGTTGGCTGGCATTCTGGATTGAGTTCCAATGAGAATTTCATTTGTATAAGCAGTCAATGAAAATCATGCATAATTTGTGCGGTAATGTATTCAAATATCGAAGGCTGTTCCATTACATATCACGATCAATTCGAGCGTTTGGAACTGCATTTGTTCTTCTTCGGATTTTCAATGTAGCGTTCACCAGTTTGCTCGAATGCGAAACCAATTAAAACGTGTTCAGTTTGATTATAGGAATGGCGTCACATTGTTTATTTAGTTACGTTTCTCATTTTCGTCTTTCGGATTACTGTATCTCGGTTTGTAGTTAAGTTAACTAACTATTTTTTAATTTAACATTTAGTTTAACATTTTTTCGAATAATGAAACGCATTTTGTTACATATAGAAATCTAAGAATTAAAAACACACTTAATGACTTTTTATACAGTCATCTTTATTAATCTCTGATAACGAAGCTTTGTTATAACTAAAGTTTGCAAAAATTAATTTATGGCTAATGCCTGAAAAATAATGCCAGAAGTTGTATACTAGAGGAAAAAAATAACATACAAACATAAAATGTCGAAGAAGAATATGTTAGAAATTTATTGAATATAGAAGTAGATGTTTTTTCAGTGGAAGATTTAGAAAAACTTGTTAATAACGAAGACAAAGAAAACGAAGACATTATTAAAATATTAAATAACAAGAGTTATGTAATAACTAGATTATTAAAAATACAAATTTTACTTGATTTTATTTTTTTTTATTATTATTTCTTCTTTTTTAATAATTAAATAAGCATATTACCACTATATCTTCATAATTTCACATTGGAAACTCTCACATATTTTTTTATCATTTATATAATTAATTTGTAATCATGTGTTTTTACATAAATAAATAGATTCTTATCTCTATTACATGAATGTAATGTATAATAATTACATCGTTTGTATATAACATTCCATGATATATTTTATGTCAAAATCAACAATTGTTGCGTTATTGAGCATTATGTAGGCATGCTGATAGCATGTTGCATCATAATATGCTTTTAATCTCAGTATAGCCAAATGTACACGATAATGCATACCGGGGATAATTGCGACAGGATTGGTAATTTAGAGGTTCGATTCACTATGTTTCGTATTAAGTATAACCAGAATATATGGCTTTATTCGTTCCATAGTTAGTAAATGCTATTACCAAAAGTTAACTATTTCATAATAAACTTAATTTTTAATAATTAATTGAAACAGTCACAAAGACAATAATGAATCATATGAAAGTTACAAAAAGGTTAGTGATGGAAAAGTCATACAAATATAAAAATTAAATAAATTCAAATTGAGAATTCCAATGTTAAAAAAGGACTTTTAATCATATGTCTATTATTAAGTATTAATATGTATTATTAGTATTATTAATGTTCTGTTTATTATAGAAATAACATTGATTGATTACATGAAAAGTTAAATAATTGATTATGGAAGCGTTTAATAAAAAGTTAGCATTTTTTTTGGGAGGAAAGGAAAACCTTGCATAGGAACCACGGTGGATTTGTGGTACTATGGGATTCTTACCCACTAAAAACCTCTCCTATTCTTTATTTCAGCATTCAGGTCCTGCTCTGAAATATTGATTGTCTCACCTGTTAGGCTAAATCAGTATTAGCTTCCACTGCCATTTTCTTCATTTTCTCTCTCCATTCTCCTCTGATCTTCTTCCTTGGTATAGAGTACATGCCTTGCAATTACGTTCCATTTGTCGCTGCTTTTCAGCAGTTTACTGACAAAATTCTGTGGAGTTAGAACAACTCCGAGGTTTGCTTCAGTTACATGCTTCTTTGCAGCCCACCTGCAGCAACTGAATAACGTATGCTCTGGGCTATCATTATCTTCGCAATACCAGCACTTCTCGTCTTCCTTCTTCGCGATAAAGTTAAGATATTTACTAAAACATCCGTGTCCAGAAAGCGCTTGTGTCAAATGGAATGTTACTTCCCCGTGATTTCTATTAATCCATGGTTTCATTTCTGGGATGAGTCTTCTAGTCCAGGCTCCCTTCTCTGAAGTTTGCCATGCAATGCATATCCTGATTGCACACTTTCGCTGGACAGTTTCAAGCAATCTTCTATAACTTTTCACCGTCATCGCCTCTTCCCATACAGGAGCTGCATATAGCATTGCAGATTGTGCCATTGCCCCAAGCACTCTTTTCTTACTCGACTTCGGTCCTCCATTGTTTAACATCAGCCTGCAAATGGTTGTAGTAGTCTCCGCTGCACGTAAAGCCACTATACTGATGTGTTAGTTAGCATATTTAGAAGTTGCAACTACCATGATATTTACGAGGGAAACTTTTCAAGATGTAATGCATAATTTACGATTTAAGTAAACTTTAATAGAAAATTAAAGGATACATTTTCTCATTCATAATTTATAATAAAGATTAATATTAATTAATTTTTAAATTTGGCAATTGACCGCAATCTTTCAACCTAAATTAATTTTTAATAAAGAAAATTTTATACATTTTAAGTGTCTTATTAATAATAAAATTGATACGGAATTTAAAAAAGTTTTCTTTATTATAATAGTATATTCATATTGTCAGACAATGACGTACATTTTCTCAAGTTACTGCAACTAAATTTCATTGTATTTAATAAAAAAATGGTACTTAAGTTCATTAAAACCTTATAAAAAATTGTACATTTAATTGTATATAAATTGGATATATCTTCATAAAGTTCAAGAAAACTTTTTATATAACTTTTTGATAAATTAAAAATAATAGTTATGTTCATAGAATTTTCTATGGTTCAACTAGTTTGTCATATGCAATGATTTTAACAAATTTTTAATTCATGTTATATATTAATTATATTTTATTGAAAATTATTATTATTTTGTTAATTATTATGAAATTCATACGCATTTTTACCATATATAATAGCATAAATGCACTGTACATATACATTGTTGTTGTATTACTATAATGGATAAACATTTAGGTTCAATATTTTATCAAGAATTATAATAGAAAACTATGTTAGGGTTATTTAAATGAAGGTGAACATAGGAAACATTACTTAATAACAAATATTTAAAATTTGGAAAACTTCATACCTTTTATTATTATATTTATTTATATCATTATTATACTTTTTGGTTTAACTTTACATATAGGAAAAATTTCCATTGAGTGAAATTATTCTAAATATTTTTTTTTTAATATTCTAAATAATCATTTATTGTTATTATTATAATTTTATATTTTACAAATTAAATAATTTAAATAATCACCTTTCTAAACGTATATGAATGTTTTGTTTTGTTGAAGAAAATCCTTTATATAAATTTGTTTCATGTAAATATATAACAAAAGAACATCAAAAGAATGTAACAGCATAGGAGGAAACAGAGAAATAAAGTACAATTACCGTATAAAAGCAGTTGCCATTTGCATTGTAAGCTCCCAAGTTGCTGTCTGTCAATGTCAGATTAAGACAATAAAAAATGTGCGCCAGGAGAACGTCGTTTCTCCTGTAATGTTTGATTTACACTTTTGTCACTGTATTTTCGCTGAACAAAATTTGCTTATTTAATCTAAATTTTCAAATGAATTTACATATAACTACAAACATATTTTGTTTTCACTACATCATCATTAATCGTATTATAGAATAATTATGGGTCTGATAAGAATATTTTGTGGCGAGATGTGCTTTTACAAATCGTAAGTTAGTATTAAGAAGGTATATTTTTCACCTATCTAATTTTAAAAGTTGTGGTTGGCTTGGCGTCTCACAGACACCGCGCGAGTAACAAAAAATAAATAATGTTTGTTATTGTTGATAATATATGTATTTAAAGAAAAAAATATGATGAAATATCAATAGAGACTTCGAATTTTGAATTATCCTTATTTATTTAATTCTTGTTACTCTATTGTATCATTATAGCATTTCAAGCAAAATAATAAATCTGTTTAATCTTTTAAAGTTAATTTAATTAAATCCTTTAAAAAGTTACAAAAATATGTTAAATAATAAAAAATATTTTAAAATAAACAAATATGTTTTGTTGTGTTTTGAAATACACTTGGTTCTCTTTTTATGCGGTAGATACGTTCCACTGGAAAACGCATAAAAATAAATCGCACAAAAAAGAACTAGACACACGTAAAAAATTAAAGGATACGTTCCATAATTTTTTTAAACCGCATAAAACTAAATCAATAAGTTACAATATACCGAAAATCGCATAAAAAAGGGTTTATTAAATTTCAGAAAAATAATTAGTCTTACCATATTTTCTTTCTGAAATGTTTATTCATAATTTTATAAAAACGTTAACAATCATAGACAAGTTTATTAAATTTCAGAAAAATATAATCTTAACATATTCCTTCTAAATTTATACGGAAAAATTTTACAAAAAAAAATACAGAATTTTTTTATGAAAGTTAATCTTTCTTCACTTTTTTTTCTTTAGAATTATCGTCGCTATATGACTTTGCTATTTTTTGTACAATTCCTGATATCCAGAAATTGTACAATTCTGAAGATTGCGTTGAAACTTGAATGCTCGTTCAGAATTATCATCTTTTTCGATGAAATGGTGTCAAAACGTGTCAAAATGGCCTAAAATAGTTATAAATAGTTATTCAAAACCGCATAAAAAAGAGTACGCATCAAAAGAGGACCGAGTATTATAATAGAAATAGTAAATTGCATGAAATTTAAGAAGAACTGATAAATGAATTCTCTATTATATGGACTTGGAATGTTTGGAATTTTCTGTGGTGAAAGGTTAAATTTTGTGGTGGAGGCATATATGTATAGATATATGTATAGATATACTCATTGCCATGTGGACGGGGTCTCAAGGAGAAGCGGTTTTGTCAACCTAGCATAAACACGTCTCTAATCCATCCGAACTTCCGGCCAATGTCAGTCGGGCCACTTACAATGTTACGCCAACTACAAATCAACATAACACGCAGCAATTTAATCTCATTCAATTTCGAAAAGCACTTCGTTTAATCAGAATGAATAACGATTGTCACAGTTATGATTTATTTACTTCTATTATTACTCATAGTTATTTGTCCTATAATATTTGCATAATGCATTTTAATAATTCATAAATTAACATTTTTAATATAATCAATTAAACTTTTTTCGATTCATATCAGTTATTTAGCTTAAATACTTTTAAATTTCATTACATAATTGGTATTAATACATTAAAGTTAAATAACAAGAAATAAGTATAATACAATTCAGATAAATGAAGACGAATGTTTGATGTAAAATACATTTATTGATATTATAATTAATGTATTTGATATTTACTTACAGAATTTTTATAAAAACAAAATATTAGATGATAATTAAGAATAACAGTATAATGCATTCATACATGTAAATAAGTTACATTTACTTAAATTTTGTGTATTTTTATATTTGTGGTAAAATTATAAATTTATTTATCTTTGAGTGAGTGGTATAATGAATTTTAATAAATACTTGTCAAGTATTACTTGATGAATAGTTTAATTGATTCGTTTCGGGATGAAGAGATACTTGACAAGTATTAATTTGAGATTAGGGAAACAAATGAGAAAATGTATTACACGGAAAACCTTGCATAGGGACCATGGTGGATTCGTGGTATTGTAGGATTTTTACCCACTAAAAACCTCCCCTCTTCTTCGTCAGCATTCAGGTCCTATTTGTTGATACTGCTCTGAAATGTTGATTGTCTCACCTGTTAGGCTAAATCAGTGATGGCTTCCACTGCTGTTTTCTTCGTTTTCTCTCTCCTTTCTCCTATGATCTTCTTCCTTGGTAGAGAGTAGCAGTTATTACTTGATACTTGACAAGGTGTTATTTTATTAAATTTCAAGTTTTCAGTTGTCAATCCCACAATCATTGTGAGGATTTGTGTATATATATATAAAAAAGCAATGAGAAAATGTTTTGCTCGATTTACTTTACAAGTATTAATTTGTGATCAGTTTGATGATATGTGATCGATTCTCCAAATGAAAATATTAATTGAAAATATATAGATTTTAAAAGCAATGTGAAAATTTATTACTTGATACTTATCAAGGTATTTGTATCAAATTTCAAGCTTTTACTTGAAATAAATCATTATGATTATTTGTGCAGAATTCTTTTTTTTATAAAAATATTTTTAAAAAATCCTTAAAGAAAATTGGTTTTATAAACTGATGCAGAGTCTAAAGTTTTTTTTTTGTAATTCGTATGCTTTATAATCGTAAACTATACTAATCTAATTGTTCAAATTTAATTATTGGAATTAGTCAATATACATAGTACATATGGATTATGAATGAACCCTGGTTATAAATACTAATGGTTATTTATGCGGTTTTGGAGGTTTACCATGCATTTTATGCATTCTAATTACGTTCTGTGCAAAATACGTTTTGCCTGATATATTGTGTATTTCGGATAGTATTAACGATAACACGTTTGCATTATGGAACACGCCAATTAGAAGTTAATCAATAAACTGCAATAGTTTGGAAGTTTAAGCCTTGCATACTGTAATCTCCTTTTCCTTTCATAGGGGAAATCAATAATGATTGCCTCTATTCGGTGCAAACATTTCACAATTGACATACACAACCAGCAAGCATCGTCCTATATTAAGTATTTTATAAAATATTTATAATACAGAAAAAAAATCTCGTTTAGCGCTTCCTCAGTTAACATTGATACCAATATATTCAAAGTCGAATTGCTATTTCTTTTAGTGCTTTAGACTAAGAATGTTCGATTGCGCTAATCATTTAAATAACTAATAATTATTTATTGGCCAGATTATTGTTTTTCTTATAAAGATTTGTGTTATTACAATCTAATTAAATACACAATAATTGTACTAAAATGATAAAAAAGTATATCAGATGATAATAATAATAGATACATGATGTATTAATAAATGTGTAAGAAGTTGCGCAAATGAAAGTTTTCCTATATGATTATTTGCTGCGTTCGTATCTTATTTGTATTTAAAATGTTCTCAGCAAACAATAAATCTTCCAGTTCAACGTATCGAATATTTCCATTGATTAATTCATTATAAACAATGAATAAAAGCAATATCGCTTTGCAAGTGTAATGATTTCACTTTTTTTTTTGTTTTCTTGTTAAAATACTTTTATAAACAAACAATTGCCATTTTGATCACGCTACGAAAACTTAATTCGAATTTGAAACATTACCTGAGTTTGTAATGTTTCGCATGCGAAAACAACGTTATGACTCAAAAGAAAATCCAAGTTTTGTTACAACAACAGTAGATTTAGAATTGTAACTAATTCTTAGTCAAACTTTCAAAAAAAAACTGAAATTAAATATAAGCAAATCCAATGCGGAAAGTTTATAATAATTCACTAAAAGCAGGCTTTTAAAATTAGTACACAAAATTATTTTGTAAACATAAATCATCGTTTTTTTGCTTTATAGAGTCAAATTTCTTCTTTATTTCTATTTTATATAGTTACTTCATTAGTCCGGTTTAAAATAAAGGGTGTCCCAAAATTAACGCAAGATTTGAATTTGCCGCCATTTTTGCATTAAAGTGGAAATCCAAAAAAACAATTTGACACTTTACTGCAAAAAGGGCGGCAAATTCAAATCTTGCGTTAATTTTGGGACACCCTGTAGTTCGGGAAAATTGCAAATTATTATTAATTATTGGAATTATTCTTATATACTATAAGTTATTATTTGTATTGATTAGTTCAGTAATTTTGAATAATATTCTTCATTTGCATGGAATAGTTTTGCTAAAAAGTTTGCATGTTGTAACATTGATTATATATTTTAAACCAAATTAGTTGTATGTCATGATAATTATAGTTATTTAAATAATGTAACTATTATAGATTATTTAGTAGGAATAAAACTATAAAGGTCAGTTTACATAATTATAGCATTGAGTTCAATGGAGAAATTTAGTTTACTTTGAGAGAAATTGCATATTTATTTTAATTATAATTACTGTAATTAATTATCAATATTTCAATATAATAAATAAATTCCATTAATTAAATTTTTAATTACAATAAATTATGATAATCTAATCTATTTTAATTGAACAATAAATTATTTTGTTTTTAATTTAAATTCATATTTAGTATTTATCAATGTAATTATTTTTATTACAAGATTTATTGTCCAAAGTTAAATAATAAATAAGTTATAATTATGATGGATTCAAATACATAAATGATTGACAGATGTACCAACAATAATGTATAATATTTTCTATTGAATCGGTCAATTAACTGTCAATTTTACAAATAATATTGTCTCTTCTAATAATAATTAATGAAGATACGCGCATATCCTACTACTATGTACTAATTGTAACAATATTTTGTGTCAGTTCATCGGATTCTTGTTGTTGGTATACCTGACAGATAATAATGTCACTTGTCATAATCAATGAAGATGCGCGCGCATCTCTTACTACAATATAAGTAACTTCATTTTTTAATCGTTGTGTGAATGCACCATTATATTATAATAAATAATTAAATAAAAAAATACTATAGATAAAAAGTTTACAATTTCTTATAGTTAATTAAAAAGTAAATCTTTGAAGAAAAAAAAACTTTTTATAATTAAATGCGATGAATCATTTTCCAAGTTGATGTCGTAATATTCGTCGGGGGTTCCGTGACCCGACACAAATCCAACGCCTCTTAAACCCGTCTTATCTGTAATTCTTGACCTACGGATGTCAACTGAACTCATCCAGTCGACCTCATTGCATCGAATCTACACCGAAGGAGCGGCATTTATCCGAGTATATCTTCTCACTCGAAATCCCGCCTCATCCAGCATCCTGATGGATCACCTCGAGATTCTAATCCGCACATTCCCCACAACAGCAAACAATTACCGTTAGCATTAACAGAACTGACGTAAGGAGAAATGCTCACACTTAATTATCCAAAGAATATATTTCTGCTATTGACAAGTTCAATATAATCATCCAACAAACTAATTGCATAACGCTATCCACGTTTTTTAATTGAGTTATTATTGTTGTGCTCAGTTAATCCAATGATTTAATGAATGCAGATTTATTGCTACCTGAGAGATCTTAATCAAAGTTCCTAGTTGTTGTTCAGTTATGCTACTTATTTTGTTGCTTTTTATATATTTGAATGCATAAAATTTCCATATTTCTGCGAAATGTTTTGTTGTCTGTTTGTCATTCCAAACGAAAGGAATATTTAAGTATTTGGGATTTCACTGAAGCCATCTCCACACACACAACAATTCCTCTTCTCATTCTATAATTTTTGAATGTATGTATAAGTATTTGTTCCCTCCATCAAAACCTGTCCCATGTTGCCGTGAATGAGTGCTCTTTGTCCGTCCGAATTAGCACTCACTTATTGACTCAAGTCTGCTGCTAAATGTCGTGTTAATTTCGCGAATGCCAGAGTGTGTGCAGTCTGATCATTCTCTCACCGTTTTTCCTCTTTGCAGAGCCACATTCTCATGGTGGTCTATGAAACAATGATAGAAACGGTGTCCAGCGAAATCACTCGTAGCCAGCATGAAGTCAAAATCCCATACCAAAGCAGTAAGTACAATTATATTGTTTTATTTTGTTTTTTTTGGTAAACGACCTTCATTCTATTATACTCGAAGGAATTTAACAGTTTCCTTCGACTTATTTTAAGATTTTCATGTTACAAGCAAGTAAACTAAATTTAAATCGAAAACCAGTTTTCGTGTATTTAGATTATAATGCATTTTAGCATGTTACAAGTTATTATTATATTTTGTTTTTAAATTACATAATTTATTACAAAAATTGTAAAATATTTTCACTTTATTCCTATTTTTTTCATCAATAACATGGAATTTTTTTTTCCTTATTTAATAATTATTCATTTCTAATATTGAACACATCATAACAAAAAAACAATATTTTAAATTAATTATTAATTATAAAACAAATTTATTTAGTTGTCTATGTATTTTGTTTATATTGTTTAAGGAGAGTGATTCATTATATAATCAAACTGTTGATGATCCTGGACCTAAAGACACATTGGTATAGTGACATTTTCATTTAGTTTGCTATGCATTTTATATCTAACATTATTTGTTTCTTGTAACAAATCTTGTATCAATTCCGTTTTCTTTACAACTAAAGATAATTTTAAATTTAACATTTTGTTTATTTTATTTAATATTTATTTACATTATTTATAGAAATTCTCATAGTTTTAATTGATCTAAATTCATTTTTTCTCAAATTGCGTTTGTAAGAAATATTACTACTAAAAGTATACCTAAATTTGATATATATTTATTATTTTTATTGAAAGAAATAAAAATAAACGTTAAAATATTATATTATTTCTATTATATTTTCAACTTTAAAGTAATATTTTGCTTGACAAAGTGCTAACCATTAATTATTATTGCTTTCATACACATTTTCTAACTTTTGTTTGGTAATTTTACTCTGCCTTTGATATATTCTGAAAAGCTTCTATAGAAAACATACTTTCAGTCAGCATAAAAAAAATAAAGTAATTCCTAATCGTTGGTTTTGTATTAATAAAGGAAGAAATACTTGTTAAGTAATTTTTACAAGTACTTATATAAGTACTAATAAACAAAAGTAATAATATTTGGAAAGTAACACAGATTTATATGGATCTTATTTATAATGAACTAATTTATTGTGAACTTTTTATGTTTCTAAAACTTATTACGCAATATTTACCAAGTAAATCATATTTGACTAGTTGTGAATAAATCATTATACTTGTGAAGCGCAAATTCTAAATACATATATTATAAAAGTAATATGGTATTAGAAGAAAGGCATGATTTAATTTAATTTGTAATTACTTAGTTTATACGAAATTCAACTGTTTTAAAGAAAATATTGCTATACAAATCAGAATATTTGCATTTTTTTTAGTTTTTTATTTATAATTAAATAAACAAATGTGAAATAGTAATGTCTAGTTACTTGATATTTCATAATGAGTAGACGACTTTATGATATACGAGTTAAAGTTACAATTAATTGTCTGATATTATGTTTCAGTGAGAATTTAAACACACATCAATCATATGTTTACCTTAATGACTCTAACCTGGTGTCATATATCTAAATTCATTAAATTCACTATAGTATGTTTATAAAATTTCAAAACAAACGAAATTGAGCAAAATAAAACAAAATTCTTAAACATTTTTTATAAATAAACTATCGTTTTGAAGTCTTTGTGTTGTTTATTTTTATTCGATTTTAAAGTCATCAATTAGTACGGTTTCAAACAGTGCAAAACTGATTACCAACACTACGCGAAGTATTGATGTATATTGAATTTGAAGTTATAGAATTACATAATTAAAGTACAGTGGAACCTCGCTTAACGAATTTAATCCGTTTCAAAATTTCCGAATTTTTACTCGTATAGTGAAAAATACTTGTATTCAAAAATACACATACATGTACACAAGTTTTAAAAATGATGCAGCAGGCGCACAATCCGGGTCATCTCTTCTCACCCGTTATGCGAAACGTTGCGAGGTTACACTGTATTATAATTTATCTAAATTTTATTAACCAATTCTTAAGTCGATTTTTATTCGTAATCATTTAACACAGTTTTCGACCTGACTTTGATTTAATACAAAAAAATTGTTCATTTATGGTTTACGAAAATAAAAACAAATAGCCATGATTATACGCAATATTTTTTATTTTGAAGAATGCTTCATAAATTATTTTTCACATCGCTTTTTCTGGGAATGTGACCGAAACCAGAAATTTCTACCTGTTGGAAAGAGCACTACATTTTATTTACTCTTCAATTAATGAATGCACATGCAGGGTGAATTCGTGTAACATCCCTCGGGCACCCAACGCAATTGATTTCCATTCCACAACCCTCGGGCCTCGAATCACGGTCAGCGCGAATGAATTTATATATATTTTTTGTTCTCAATGCAGGGAATATTGAAATTTCAACATGCGCGTGTTATTTTTTCCTTGATATTTGCACTTTATTGTTTTTATCATTAATAATGCAAGCGTTATTCAATTACTCACGAAATTATGTGAATAGAAAATGATCTTGACTATAGCATATTTTCATTTATGAATCAATATTGACAGTATTCAAATTTAGTATCTTTTCATCGTAAATTGTAATTCCGTGCAGTGTATATCACATTCGTATGCGAGGAGTGCGCTTAATTGGCAATCCGGTGAGGAGCTAGCAATTCTACAGAAAATCAATCGTTAATATCTAATGTTAATCCAACGTTTTCCTAAAGAAAGAAATAGTAGTAGCAAAAAAATAGTAAATTCTACATAAAATAAAGCGCTTCATAAAATATTCAATTAGGGAGTAGTTCGAGTGTAAATCGGATAAGGTCACGAGGATTAACTAGCAGTAAATCCTTTCACAGATTTATATCTCTTTTCTTCAATGAAACCGTATTGATTTTCGCATTCCAAAATAAATTGATCTTTCACCATTATCTCTTTTTATACGTGATCTTTATTTCTGCACGTATTAAGGGAAGCTTTCAGATTTTGTAAAATATAAAAAAAAATCTATATTAAAATTTGTTTGCGAAAAATAAGGTGTCTTATTCCAAGACTAATATAATAAAATAATAATTTTACTTAAATTAAGTCGTCTTAAGTTAAGTATACTTAAATTAAGTCGTCTTAAGTTAAGTATACTTAAATTAAGTCGTCTTAAGTTAATAATACTTAAATTAAGTCGTCTTAAGTTAAGTGTACTTATATTAAGTCGTCTTAAGTTAAGTCATATTAAGTTAAGTATACTTAAATTAAGTCATCTTAAGTTAAGTATACTTAAATTAAGTCGTTTTAAGTTAAGTATACTTAAATTAAGTCGTCTTAAGTTAAGAATACTTAAATTAAGTCGTCTTAAGTTAAGTATAGTTAAATTAAGTTGTATTAAGTTAAGTATACTTAAATTAAGGCGTCTTGTGTAAAGTATACTTAAATTAAGACGTCTTATATTAAGTATACTTAAATCAAGGCATCCTATTATAAGTCTTTTTATATATCTCTACAAGCTTTCAGATTTTGTAAAATATAAAAAAAAATCAATATTAAAATTGTTTGCGAAAAATAAGGTGTCCAAGACTATTTAATTAAGTCGTCTCAAGATAATTTTACTTAAATTAAGTCGGCTTAAGTTATGTATATTTAAATTACGTCGTCTTAAGTTAAGTATACTTATATTAAGTCGTCTTAAGTTAAGTATACTTAAATTAAGTCGTCTTAAGTTAAGTAGACTTAAATTAAGTCGTCTTAAGTTAAGTATACTTAAATTAAGTTGTATTAAGTTAAGTATATTTAAATTATGGCGTCTTATGTAAAGTATACTTAAATTAAGGCGTCTTATATTAAGTATATTTAAATCAAGGCGTCCTATGATAAATCTTTTATACGTGATCTTTATCTTTGCACGTATTAAGGGAAGCTTTCAGATTTTGTAAAATATAAAAAAAATCTATATTAATTTTTTTGCGAAAAATAAGGTGTCTTATTCCAAAATTATTTAATTTAAGTTGTCTCAAGATAATTTTACTTAAATTAAGTCGTCTTAAGTTATGTATACTTAAATTAAGTCGTCTTAAGTTATGTATACTTAAATTAAGTCGTCTTAAGTTAAGTATACTTAAATTAAGTCGTCTTAAGTTAAGTTTACTTAAATTAAGTCGGCTTAAGTTAAGTATACTTAAATTAAGTCGTATTAAGTTAAGTATACTTAAATTAAGTCATCTTAAGTTAAGTATACTTAAATTAAGTCGTCTTAAGTTAAGTATACTTAAATTAAGGCGTCTTATGGATTGATTTAAAGTCAAAATCATTATTTCAATGAAAGAAATGAATAATTAATTTAAGTTTTTTTTAAATCTACTCTTGAGTTTAAATATTTTTATAGACAACAGATGAAAATATTAAAACTTCTACAGTTTTCTAAATTATATGATGTATTTTTATGATTTGTTTTGAGATGCGTTTAAAAAGTTGTGCACTATAAATAGACTTGTATTTGAATTTGTAGAAACTTTGGGTCACCATTATACGATTTATCCACCCAGGGAAATTCCATTTAATATCGGCCCTTCATCTTCAGGCGACTTTAAAAAAAATGCAAAGGGGATTTGGCTGCGAAAAGGAATATTATTAACGCAAAGCGAGGGAAATTTATTGCGACGAAATGGGATTCGCGTATGATGTATAGTACAGACGCAAATACTAAATAACGTCGACGTGAATGTATAGAATATTATTTCGTAGCCGTATTGATCTACAATTCGAAATTCCCAGAATTATTGTAATATATATATTTATTTTCGTGGAAGCCAGAGTGAATATTGTTGTTATTAGTATTGTTATTAATTCGTGCGATGCTAATGGAATTGAATAATCCGAAGCATGTAAACTTTGATAATTCTTGTTAGTAATGCTGCTGTTAATACGTGGCATTCCCTGCTTTCCAGTGGCACTTAAGAATCCACTTACTTTACTCAAACGGTAATTGCCAAGACGCCATTTTACTTTGTATGCGACACTTGTTCCTAGTGCAAACTTATTTCAATATGTTGACATAATTTCCTACATATGCAGCTTGTGTTTGCATACAAATCATTATTAAAACAAGATTATTTATAAACTAATATCGAGAATTGAAATTATTAGTCCGGATTCATATAGTCCGGTTTGAAACAAAAAATCTCTTCTTGTGCGGTTTATTTTTGTATGTATTTAATTGCTCAATTAGTCCGGTTTCAAACAGTATATAACATATTAAGACAGTGTTTTCAAGAAACAAATGGTTTTAACAAAAACATTTGTTCTCTCTTTACTTTACGGCTATTTTACAACTGTTTATTTCTATGTTTTGTCATTTTGTGTCTTATTGATAAAAGTATGTTTTTGATAGATAATTTTCGAATGTTGAGAAATATAACTAATTATGTAAATATATTTTTTCCGTCCTGTTAAAAATCTCTTTGAAATTTCATATTTGTGCCTGT